AATAGTGAAGCAAAAAAAGCGTCACCAATAGCACCGTCACCATTTGCGATTTCGTCACCAAACGTCACCAATTGGTGACGCTGGGATGACGCAGGTATTTCTCACCATTTAGTGACGCAACGGTGACGAATTTGCGTAACTAAATAGTGAGCAATTGCGTAACCAAATCGTCACTAATACATGACGCATTAAACGTCATCATCTTTCGTCACCAAGTAGTGACGCAAAGCGTCACCAAAGTCGTCACCAGTTGGTGACGCAGTTTCGTCACTAATCAGTGACGCTTTTTGGTGACGCAAATGCGTCATAAATTAGTGACGATATTGCGTGAACAACTGCGTTACTATTTTTTGACGTAGTGACGCAAGTCGTCACCAAATTAGTGATGCAATTGCGTCACTAATTTGCGTCACTATATAAAAAAAATAAAAATATATATATTATTATATTTAAATATATAATTAAAGTTCTAAATAATTAATTTACAATACCAAAAAAATATAAAATATTTAATTTTGATTTTCTCCATCGTAATTGGCTTCATCGCTGTCGCCGTCGCCACCGCTTCCTTGTCCTCCACTTCCGAAACTCGGAAATCCTCGCGTTTGGAACTCATTGAAAAATTCTGCTTGCACTCGCAGTTCTTCAATGAGTTTTCGATCTTCTTCTTGTCGACGCAAGAATTCCGCTTGTTGCCAGAGGAGTTCAGCTTGCTGCTCCTCTAATTGTCGCACTCGTCATGCGAATGAAAGCGTTTTCTGAGCAGTTGAAGGAGCATCTTCACCAGGATGATATGTGATATCGGTTTGCATTGAACCGAGACCGTATATCCGTCCAAATTTGTTCGGTGGAACAACCTATATAATAAAAATATAATTAGTTAATAATTTATTTTAAATTAAAATTGATGAGATATATCTTCAGGTCAACCATCACACCATCTTTTCGTGTATGTGTTGCTTTCAACAGATCTAGCAACGTTTAATATATATATATATATATATATATATATATATGTGTGTGTGTGTGTTGTATTGTATGTGTGTGTATGTACATATTGCTTTGATAAAACACTGAAACTTCATTTGATAGATAAGAACAATTGGCTCTCTCTTTGTTTTTTGGGTGTTGTTTTTTTTTTTTTAATTTGGAGTGATAGACAATATAATTAGGGTTGTTGAAGTCATCGGACGTGGGTTGGTTGATATGATATTATGTTTCTTACTACCAACTTTATTTCATTTTCTTAAGTTCCATTTAATGTTGATTAATTAATGTGGATCTTCGAATTAATGTGAATAACCTTTGTGATTATATTTTTTAGTAACACTGTAATCGCAACTCGCCATGTGCATGTATATATCATTTCAAGGCTTGAGAATAAAGAATTCCCAAAACTTGAGACTTGAGTTGAGTAACTATTTTAAAACTATGCATTATTTATTGAAATATATATATATATATATATATATATATATATATATATATAACAAATTATTAAGGAAACACACGATTATATATATATATATATATATGGAAATTAGAGTAGAACATAAAAAGAATCCGTCCAAAAGTATAAATACGAGTTTGAAATATTTGTAAAACAAAGTTTTTACTCAAACAAACAAATAATCGGAAAAAGTTGTATCTATTTATAAGAGATATCAATATCTTAAGTAGTCCAATTACAGAAAATCAATTAGCAAAACTATATATCTAATCTATTAGATTCGATCTCTGACTGGACTTACCATGCAACCACATAACTCAAAAAGTATTTATTAAATTCATTATATATAATATCACTCAATCAATATACTCTGACCTATATGCACACACATACATATATAAATACATATACACATAAATGTATGTATGATGTATCGTGTATTTCGAGATTTGAATGATGAGGAATACAGTCAGCTGCCCGTACATCTCGCAAGAAGCATATGATCTGTACGGTCTATTAATAATACCTGTACGTCCATAAGAAGCTGTAATTATCATTTCATTTTTATATTTAATTAGATATGTTGACAAGCACCCATATTTTAATTGATTTTTTTCTTAATTCCATTAATATATGCAGACGTATTAAATGATTTATTATAGATGTATACATGTGGTTGGTTCATGAAATTAATTAAGTCTAACAAGTTCTGAATATAATTGTAAAATAAATAAAACGCTTTAATGTCAACGACCATAAATCATGCCATGAAAAAGAGTAACGTTTTTTTGTTTGACCTCCCCATATAAGAAAGAAAACTTATCGTTTTTCACTTTAATTATCTTCCAATTAAGATAATATTTTTCTTATAGCCGATCCATCAAATGGGCTGACGAACAAACAGACAAATTGATATTAAAATAAATTCGATACTTTTTTCCAAGACCCGTACGGTAGTCTTCAATGTCAACGCTGTCTGCTCTGTCACGTAAAGAAACATTATTAATATAATCTTTTTTATACGATAAGATCTATAGAAAAAAAACAACAAAATTAAAAGTGGTGAAAAATCGGAGGGAGACAGGGTGGTGCCTTTTGCTAGGGATGGACGTTTTGGGAAACGGTTCGGGTTCGGGATGGGAATAAATCGGTTCGGTTCTTTCGATTTTACAAAAATAGATACCAATCGGTTTTTATATTGTATTCGGTTCGGTTCAGTTTCGGTATCGGTTCAGTTCGGTTCTGGGTTTTATTAAAAAAATGATAGATTTTTAAAAAAAATATTCGGTTTTCCGGGATTTTTAAAGTTTGGTTCGGTTCGGTTACGATTATATATATATATATATATATGGAAATTAGAGTAGAACATAAAAAGAATCCGTCCAAAAGTATAAATACGAGTTTGAAATATTTGTAAAACAAAGTTTTTACTCAAACAAACAAATAATCGGAAAAAGTTGTATCTATTTATAAGAGATATCAATATCTTAAGTAGTCCAATTACAGAAAATCAATTAGCAAAACTATATATCTAATCTATTAGATTCGATCTCTGACTGGACTTACCATGCAACCACATAACTCAAAAAGTATTTATTAAATTCATTATATATAATATCACTCAATCAATATACTCTGACCTATATGCACACACATACATATATAAATACATATACACATAAATGTATGTATGATGTATCGTGTATTTCGAGATTTGAATGATGAGGAATACAGTCAGCTGCCCGTACATCTCGCAAGAAGCATATGATCTGTACGGTCTATTAATAATACCTGTACGTCCATAAGAAGCTGTAATTATCATTTCATTTTTATATTTAATTAGATATGTTGACAAGCACCCATATTTTAATTGATTTTTTTCTTAATTCCATTAATATATGCAGACGTATTAAATGATTTATTATAGATGTATACATGTGGTTGGTTCATGAAATTAATTAAGTCTAACAAGTTCTGAATATAATTGTAAAATAAATAAAACGCTTTAATGTCAACGACCATAAATCATGCCATGAAAAAGAGTAACGTTTTTTTGTTTGACCTCCCCATATAAGAAAGAAAACTTATCGTTTTTCACTTTAATTATCTTCCAATTAAGATAATATTTTTCTTATAGCCGATCCATCAAATGGGCTGACGAACAAACAGACAAATTGATATTAAAATAAATTCGATACTTTTTTCCAAGACCCGTACGGTAGTCTTCAATGTCAACGCTGTCTGCTCTGTCACGTAAAGAAACATTATTAATATAATCTTTTTTATACGATAAGATCTATAGAAAAAAAACAACAAAATTAAAAGTGGTGAAAAATCGGAGGGAGACAGGGTGGTGCCTTTTGCTAGGGATGGACGTTTTGGGAAACGGTTCGGGTTCGGGATGGGAATAAATCGGTTCGGTTCTTTCGATTTTACAAAAATAGATACCAATCGGTTTTTATATTGTATTCGGTTCGGTTCAGTTTCGGTATCGGTTCAGTTCGGTTCTGGGTTTTATTAAAAAAATGATAGATTTTTAAAAAAAATATTCGGTTTTCCGGGATTTTTAAAGTTTGGTTCGGTTCGGTTCCAGGAAAATTCGGTTCTCTAAAAATGGTACCGTTCGGGAATTAGAAACGGTTTCGGATCGAAAAAAATATCGTTTTTCCGGTTCGGTTCGATCTGAGAATTAGGAAGAAAATTTTTCACTTGTCCTACCGTTTTTGTTTCTTTCGTCCTCCATTTCTGTATATAAGGAAGTCGTGTGATGTGAGCCTCTATAAAATCATTGCAAACCGAAGATACAAAAAAAATACAAACCAAATAAAGAGAGGAAAAAAAGATATAGATAAAAAAAAAAATCAGGATCTCTTATTTTTGTGAATTTTTTTCTTTATTCCTAATTAGTGTTTGTTTTCTCCTATTATTAAAAATATAATTATCATTGTTTTTCTTTACAATAGATCTTTTTACTATTCATCCATTTACGTAAATATTCTACCGAATTGTAAGTATCTCATTACTTATTTTATGAACACAATTTAATAGTATAAAAATATGATTTATATACATTCCATCTTAATAAGAGAGTCCCAAATTTAATTTGGTTTATATTAATTTTTAATATTCCGTGGAAAATGGCGACTTTCATGGGTTTTTATTCATATAAAATACAATACACGTATACGATTTCATTTGTCATCGGTACATACATACGTATGTCTATATGTGTTATTTTAGAAGAGAATTAAAAACTAATGAGCAATTTAATGTTCCGACAAATACGTGGGGAGAAGTTATGAAATGTACTTTTTGATTAGCAAAGAGGGCTATCATTTCCATATATATATATATATAAACATATTAAATCTACCGATGAATATTTTAAAATGGTCTAATATTTTAGCAAATTAATTCTAATTGGTTCCTCTTCAATATTATATTAAAGTGATAAAGTCTCCTTTGGGCTTCTACCTAACGATCGATACCATGTGTTACTTCCTCTATATAAGTACCATGCAAACTCCAATCTCCAACTCACCCCAAGAAACAAAATCACAAGAACAAGAAGACAAACTTCTTGTTACTGTCCTAACCAAAATGGCTCGCCATTGCAATGAAGAAGGTTCTATTGGAACCTCCTTGCATGGAGTTACAGGCAGAGAACAAGTCTTCTCTTTCTCTGTCGACATCGACCCTTCTTCCCAAACTGTCGGATCAGAAGATCCAACCTGTAAATTCACATTACCAGTGGATTCAGAACACAGGGCCAAAGTGTTCAAGCCTCTGTCCTTTGCCAAACCACACATGCGAGCTTTCCATTTGGGATGGATCTCTTTCTTCACTTGTTTCATCTCCACTTTTGCAGCAGCTCCTCTCGTTCCCATCATTCGGGACAACCTCGACTTGTCCAAAACCGACATTGGAAACGCCGGTGTTGCCTCTGTCTCCGGCGCCATTTTCTCTCGACTCGCCATGGGAGCTGTCTGTGACTTACTCGGTGCCCGGTACGTATAAGGGTATTTCTTGACATTATACAAATAATGTAACCTATATTCTTCGTGTATTTTATTTATACATTACGTTGTATATTGCAATGTTAAAATACACATCATTCATTTTACCTAACATGGTATCTGAACATAGTTGCGATTGATACGAACTAGGATATTTTTTTTCAAAATTTCTCATAAAAAATGTCAGCATTCTTCTAAATAAATCATCCATTTACCTAATACGATGTTTCCGTGAACAATGAAGAAACTGAGTGATTCCACCGTGAAGTCTTTCTTTCCGATAACGAATCACACAGTAGTTATTGACATGCATGTCGTGCTGGAAACAGGTACGGTACGGCGTTTCTGCTGATGCTGACGGCTCCGACCGTGTTCTCCATGTCGTTCGTGGCTGACGCGGGTGGATACTTGGCGGTGAGGTTCATGATCGGATTCTGCCTCGCGACCTTCGTGTCGTGTCAGTACTGGACGAGCGTTATGTTCAACGGGAAGATCATTGGACTCGTCAATGGCTGCTCAGGTGGATGGGGAGACATGGGAGGAGGAGTGACTCAGCTCCTCATGCCGATGGTATTTCATGTCATTAGACTCGCCGGAGCAACTCCCTTCACGGCGTGGAGGATCTCCTTCTTCGTCCCTGGGTTTCTTCAGGTCGTCATAGGCATTCTTGTCCTCACTCTCGGACAAGATCTCCCTGATGGCAACCTCAGTGTCTTGCAAAGGAAGGGTGATGTTGCAAAAGACAAGTTCTCCAAGGTATGTATGCATGTGTATACGTGTGTGTATATATATGTGTATGTACGCATGTGTATGTGTATATGTCCGTACGTATGTACACATGTGTGAATATATATGCGCGTGTGTATGTATGTATGTATGTATCGATTTCTTGATCAAGAAAAACAAGAACCAAGAACTATGATTTTTACGTTTGTCCTTGATATTTTGCTGTGTGGTCTGTTAGGTTTTCTGGTTTGCTGTGAAGAACTATAGAACATGGATCTTGTTCCTTCTTTACGGATTCTCCATGGGAGTCGAATTGACCATCAACAACGTCATCTCTGGATACTTCTTCGACAGGTTCGGTTCCGATTTCATCCAACCCTCTAAATGATAATCTCATTTTCATGCATCTCTTCTTACAATTCTTTGTTTCATATCTGTTTCAGGTTTCATCTCAAGCTTCACACTGCGGGTATAGTAGCAGCCAGTTTCGGTATGGCGAATTTCTTCGCCCGTCCCTTAGGCGGGTGGGCTTCCGACAAGGCTGCTCGATTCTTCGGCATGAGAGGTCGGCTGTGGACCCTTTGGATCCTTCAGACAATCGGCGGTCTGTTCTGCATCTGGCTCGGTCAGGCTAACTCCCTTCCTATAGCTATCACAGCAATGATGCTCTTCTCCGTCGGTACACAAGCTGCTTGCGGAGCCATCTTCGGGATCGTCCCCTTCGTCTCTCGACGCTCTCTCGGGATCATATCGGGATTGACGGGAGCGGGAGGGAATTTCGGGTCGGGACTGACACAACTATTGTTCTTCTCTTCGTCTAGATTCCACACGGCGGAAGGGTTGTCGCTGATGGGGGTCATGGCCGTGGTTTTTACGATTCCCGTCGCGTTTATACATTTCCCGCAGTGGGGAAGCATGTTCTTGGGGGCGACAACAGACGAGGAGAGATCAAAGGAGGAGTATTATTACTCGGCGGAGTGGACGGAGGAGGAGAAGCAGCTAGGGCTACATGAGGGAAGCATCAAATTCGCAGAGAATAGTCGGTCCGAGAGGGGCCGAAACGCGGCCTTAGCCGACATTCCAACACCGGAGATTGGGACTCCGTCACATGTTTAGTGGAATATATACACACAGCTATATATATATAAGTGGGTATGTGTAACGAGCAAGATCCTGACTATATATGTGAGGTTCAATGAGCTCGGTACCAACGTTGTACATGTCTTCCTTTATGAAAGACTTGCAATAAAATGGAATTGTTGAGTGACTTCTTCTTGTGTGTTATGCCCTGTTGCTTTATATATAAATATTGCATCTATAAGGAATTGTGACATGAATTGTGAAAGAAAGATCCAAAGTAGAAATAGTCGTGGTTTTACATATATATATATATATATATGTATGTAGTTTTCAGTCAGACCCAGATGACCACAGATCACAATCTGGTTATGTTTTCTTCTTGAACAGAGACGCTGTTAGCTGGAAAAGTTCTAAACAAGCGACCGTTGCAAATAAAGGAACTTTGAATTCAGAGTAAGAAACATGGGACAATCTCGGTCTGTATAGTGACCAAGATGAAGGAGAAGGCACAGACAAGAAATTCCAGTGTCTCTCTTATTCTTGATCTCTGTACTGAATATTACACAATATATATATACTATTAACATGGAAGAAAATATACAGAAACATGGAAACTCCTTAACGGCTAATACATAAAAGGAATGTGATCAAATCATCGACAGATTTTGTCAATCAGATGCAACCCTTGCCAAGTATGTCTTGGTCTGATTATTGACGTGTGAGTGTAATCAGCATCTTCCCTTCTATGTGTCAGCAACGTGTGCAGCCATGTATTCACCAATGTCTCACTTTGTCAACATTCCCCTCAAGGTTGGAGTTATGGATATCCATAAGTCCAATCTTGATTAGAACATTGTTGATCGTTTTATAGCTTGAGGCCTTGGTAAATATGTCTGCTAACTGCTCGGAACTTTTAGTGTATGGTGTAGATAAGATGCCTTTTTGTACCTTTTCCCGAACAAAGTGACAATCCACTTCTATATGCTTGGTTCTCTCGTGAAAGACTGGATTTGCCGCAATGTGAATGGCGGATTGGTTGTCACAATGTAGCGGAATAGGCAACTTGACGTTGAATCCAAGATCTTCAAGCAACCCTTTGATCCACACGATTTCTTGAGTCGTGTTCGCCATAGCTCGGTATTCAGCTTCTGCACTTGATCGAGCAACAACGTTTTGCTTTTTGCTTCTCCATGTAACTAAGTTTCCTCCAACAAATGTGCAATAGTCGGTTGTCGATTTTTGATCACTTCTATCTCCGGCCCAATCAGCATCACAGTATCCTACCACTTCTGTATGTCCGTTCTTCCTCATACATATTCCTTTGCTCGGTGTTCCCTTGAGATATTTGAGTATTCTTTCCACCATGGTCTAATTCCGGGACGTAGGCGAATGCATGCATTTGCTAACAGCAAAGGATAAATCAGGTCGAGTAACGGTTAAGTAGATGAGCTTACCTACTACTCTGTGATAGAGTTCAGCATCTTCGAATGGTTCCCCCTCTGGATGATCCTTGAAATTTTCTTCGATTGGTGTTCCGGCCGGTTTAGTTCCAAGTTTACCTGTGACATCAAGAAGATCAAGTGTGTACTTCCTTTGAGATAGAAATAATCCCTCGGTTGAGCGGATTACTTCTATGCCAAGAAAGTACTTTAGTTCACCTAAATCCTTAATATCAAACATGCTTTTAAGAAATTCTTTGGTTTTCACAATTCCATTTTTGTCACTTCCTGTAAGGATGATATCATCTACATATATAAGTAGACAATAATACCTGATTCCCCCTGAATTGTGAAAAGCGAATGATCGGAGTCGCTCTTGACAAATCCATGAGAGAGAAGAGCGTCACTAAGCTTGTGATACCATGCCCTAGGCGATTGTTTCAATCCATATATGGCCTTTTTGAGCTTGCATACTCGGTTTGTACCGAATTTTTCAGCAAATCCCGGTGGAGCCGACATATAGATTTCTTCTTCAAGATCGCCTTGCAAAAATGCGTTTCTGACATCCATCTGCCATAAGTCCCAATCAAGATTAGTGGCAATCGAAAGTACAATTCTTACCGAGGCGAGTTTTGCAACTGGAGCAAATGTATCTGTATAATCTTCTCCATATAGTTGCGTGAATCCTTTGGCGACAAGACGAGCTTTGTATCGTTCAATGTCGCCATTGCTCTGGTACTTGATTTTATACACCCACTTGCATCCGACGGCTCGCTTTGACGGTGGTAATGGAACTATGTCCCATGTCTCATTCTTTTCCAAGGCCGAGATCTCCTCATTCATAGCTTCACACCATTCGTTGCTAGACTTAGCCTCATCATAAGTGTTGGGCTCGATTCCCTGGTCTAGAGCACTAAGGAAAACACGATGGTGATCAGAGAGATGAGAAATAGAGTAAAAAGACTGTATGAGATATTGTACCAAATGATAATTTTGTTCATCATGCCAGCGAACTTTGCTGAGAGTTCTCATCCTTGTATCAGTCAGATTTTTCATAGGTGTAGACTGCGACTGAGTTTCGATGCTATTAATAGGAGTCTGGGCAATTGTCGTGTTATATCTGAACTTCCATTCAGTCATTGGTCGACATGTTCTTGAGCTACGACGCAGAACAGAATCCACATGAACTGATTCCACTGCCTCTGTTTCATGTTGCAGATCAGAAACAACAGGAACAGATTCCACTTCCTCTATTTCAAGCCTTATGTCACTGGTTACAGCCTCTATGTCCAGTTCCTCATAATCGAGGATCTCGTGGTTCTCATTGTTGCCAGATTCCTCTTCGCCATTATTGTCTTGAGAATCCAAGCTAGTGTCATCGTGATGTTGATGATCCAATAGTTTTTCTTGCCCATGTGTCTGAAAAAAGCGTTGAGAAGTGTCTTGTTCTGCACAATTAAACCGAAGAGTGGAAGAATAATCTGGAGCATATTTCACAAATTCATCCAATTCCTTGTCGTCCATGTTGCTGAAATATCCTTGCTCTTCTATAAAAACCACATTTGCCGAGACATGTAGCTTGTTTGTATCTGGATGGAAGCATTTGAATCCCTTCTGCTTTGTTGAATATCCAAGGAATATGCATTTGAGGCTCTTTTTGTCTAGCTTATTCCTTCGTGTTTCTGGAATATGTACAAAACACACACATCCAAATACCTTTAGGAATTCAAGAGAGGGTTTTGAGTTGTTTAATACCTCAAACGGTGACACATCACCAATAACCCTTGTCGGAAGTCTGTTGATAAGATAACACGAGGTTTGTACAACATGATTCCTCTATGAAACATCATTGTTCGTGCAACTTCCAGAAGATGCTGGTTCTTTCTCTCCGCAACTCCATTTTGTTGCGGTGTATACGCACAAGAGGTTTGATGTTCCATTCCATGCTTGGCAAGATATTCCGCAAATTGTTTGTTGATGTACTCTCCCCCATTATCCGTGCGTATACACTTGATCTTGGCATCGTATTGTGTAGAGACATAGCTGTGAAATTTGACAAAAGCATCGAAAACATCTCCTTTCGATTTGAGGAGGGTTAGCCAAGTATATTTTGATTTTTCATCAATGAATGTCACAAAATATCTAAAATTATCATGGGACATGCAAGGCGAAGTCCATACATCAGAATGAACAAGAGCGAAACATTCATTATATTGCGTACTCGAAATAGGAAAAACGTTTCGACAATGCTTTCCGAAAATACAGGACTCGCACTTATTATGATCAAAACTAATATTGGGAAATAAAATGTTCAAGGCTCTAACATGTGGATGTCCTAATCTAGCATGCCAAATCGAGTTTAAGGCAACTTCATCATCTAAACTTGGCTGCTCAAGGTAATATAATCCATTCTTCTCTTTCCCTTGAGATATTACCTTCTGAAAATAACATCACAATTGAGATCTCTAGCTATGTTACGAACAGACAACAAATTTGTTTTAAATTCTGGAACAAAGAGTGCTTTTGTCTCCTTATTGCATAATGTCAACCTGCCAATTCCCTTTATGGGAACGTTTTGCCCATTTGCAACTGATATAGTGCCATATGCATCTTCTATATTACTAAGCAATTTCGGATTATATATCATGTGAGTTGTAGCACCGGAGTCAACAATTAATCTATTATCATGAGCTGATGAAAAAGAGACATTACCGGAATCCTTGGAGGAGATGAGTTGGGTTATATTTTGCATCATTGCCTCCAGGTCAGATTTGGTAACGAATTCTTCTGTGTTTCTCACGTTTCCTGATGTTGTAGGAGTTTTCATCGCCGCATTTGCTATCTGAGTTTCCTCAGATTTGAGATTATGTGCTGCGAAACGTGGAGGTTTCAGATGAGGATGTAACATCCAACACTTCTCCTTTGTATGACCCTTACGCTTACAGTGTTCGCAAACTAGGATTCTGCGATCTATAGTTGATCTGGGTTGAAAATCCCGACGTCCATAGGAGTGCAGGTTAGCCTTGTGGGCCAATTCTCCATGTCCCTGAAACAATGCACGTCCACCTTATTCCTTTTTTATCTTAGAGCATACAATATCAAACGACTGCAATTTGTCCTCCCTCAAAATAACTTGAACTAGATCCCGAAAAGAATCGTTCAAAGAAGAGAGTAACAAGAACACCTTTTCTTGTTCATGTCGCTCAATCTCTGTTTCATCCGTTGACGGGGTTTGTAACTCGTCGACTTCGGCCCACAATGAGGTGAATTCTCCGAGCAGGTCATTGAAGCTTCTATCGTCTTGCTTCAGATTCCACAGTTTCCTCTTGACTTCATAGATTCGATTCAAGTATGAGGTATTGCCGAATACCTTTTTCAGTGTCTCCCACAATTTATATGCAGTATCAATGTGGTTGTATGAGTTGATCAGGGACTGATCGAAAGAACTCTGGAGTATCAGAACAACATTCTGGTCATTTTGCAGCCATTTAGTATCTTCTTCGCTCTTGTCTGCAGATTCGTCAATGGTTCTTGCGGTTGTGACATGTTTCCACAAACCTTTGCTCCTTAGTGTGGTCTTTGCTGATCTGGACCAACTAAGATAGTTTTCCCCATGAAAGACAATCGGAATCAAGCGTTGGAATGTACCTTCCATTGTGATTTGGTTGTCTGAAGAAAAAATAAATGTAAGAGAAACAGAACAGATACTTCTCTCACTCGGAACTGCGTCGAGATGAGGATCAACAAACAAACTCTCTCTTCACCGAGGAAATTAACCCAAGAGCCAACCAGGCTCTGATACCATAAAGGAACTTTGAATTCAGAGTAAGAAACAGGGGACAATCTCGGTCTGTATAGTGACCAAGATGAAGGAGAAGGCACATACAAGAAATTCCAGTGTCTCTCTTACTCTTGATCTCTGTACTGAATATTACACAATATATATATATACTATTAACATGGAAGAAAATATACAGAAACATGGAAACTCCTTAACGGCTAATACATAAAAGGAATGTGATCAAATCATCGACAGATTTTGTCAATCAGATGCAACCCTTGCCAAGTATGTCTTGGTCTGATTATTGACGTGTGAGTGTAATCAGCATCTTCCCTTCTATGTGTCAGCAACGTGTGCAGCCATGTATTCACCAATGTCTCACTTTGTCAATAGCAAATTCTACTACAGAAGCTGAGTATATTGCAGCGTCAGACGCAACAAAGGAAGCTGTTTGGATCAGAAAGTTTGTTGGCGACTTGTGTGTCATTTCTAGTGTTGATAGCCTCATTGCTCTATATTGTGACAACAATGGAGCAATCGCACAAGCCAAAGAGCCCAGATCCCATCAACGATCCAAACACATACTCAGACGATTTCACCTTATCAGAGAGATCATAGACATAGGAGACATGTACATTTGCAGAGTGTCGACAGATGACAACATTGTCGATCCGTTGACGAAACATCTTCCTTCGTCAAAGCATGAGGGTCATGTAAGAGATATGAGCATTAGATGTTTAGCAGTCCATGATTAGAGTAAGTGGGAGATTGTTGGTTTAGTGCTCTATGATATACTGTTGTATGAGTTTTAGTATGTATGTATAACACGCCTAAGAAAGAGAAATCTCAAAGATTTTGTAATGTTTGTAACAACAAAGTTTTTACTTAATCACACAAATAATCAGAAAAATATATTTCTTTTTATAATAGATACCAATATCATAATTAAAGAAAATCAATTAGCAAAATTATTATCTATAGATGTGGAAAAAAATTATTATATATAGAATAAATTCGATCTCTGATTGGACTTAGACTGCAACCACATGATTCAAAAAAATATTTATTAAATTCATTATATCACTCAAACCAATATATTCTGACCTAACTCCATACACAAAATATATACATGTATATACACACACACATAAATGTGTGTATGAAGTATCATGTATCTCGAGGTTTGAATGATGAGGAATACAGTCAGCCGCCCGCACATCTCGCAAGATTCATATGATCTGTACGGTTTATAATAATACATGCAGTATGTACGTCTTCGTATGGTAGCTATATTATCATAAGACTGTAATTATCATTTCATTTTTTTATATTTAATTAAATATGCTGTTAAAGCATAATAATTAAGTCTAACAAGTTGTGAATATAGTTATAAGCTATATGAAACGCTTTAGTGTCAACGACCATAAATCATGCCATGAAAAAGAGTAACGTTTTTTTTTGTTTGACCTCCCGACAAGATTGGATTCTTTCCGTACGATATAAGAAAGAAAACTTATCATTGTTCAATTTAATTATCTTCTAACTAAGATAATATTTTCTTATAGCCGGTCCATCACATGGGCTGCCGAGCAAACAGACAAATTGATATTATTAAAAATAAATGGGAATGCCATGATCCGTACGGTAGTCTTAAATGTCAAACATTACGAATATAATATGATAAGATCTATAGAGAAATCAAGAGTCACAAAATCTAATTTGGTTTATGTTACTTTTTAATATTCTGTGGAAAATGACCACTTTCATGCATTTTATTCATATCATTATCAAATATACATATATGTATACGATTTCATTTGTCATCGGTATATGTATGTATATTTTTGTCCAAGTTATTTTATAAGAGAAGTAAAAACTAGTATAGAGATATATTGAGCTTTCGATCCAACTAATCTCTAGATCCGGAGATACCCTTTAGTGCAAAATTGCACCATCTTACCCAACGAGCTATTCGAAAATGGGATCTCTGAAATATAGATGACATTCCAACCACACTCTACAACCACTCGATCACCGCAAATTTTCGTGTTATGATTCTGGATTTGCTAACGGTTCTTATGATGAAACCTTTTTTATTAAGGATCATACGAGTAGAAAGATCAAAGAAGGAGCAAATGACTTAGAGTAATCTCTACGGTGAGTTGAAGATTGAAGTATCAGAAGGATGTGAGAAAGTAAACCAATCGATCTTCTGTGTCAACCAAAAGCTCCATCAGATTAAGGATAGCGATTAATGCGTGTAATTTTGCAGAGTCGGTGTGGATCAGAACGATGAAAACTGTACAAGATCGAGAGCTAGTAGCTTATCTTTCCGCGCCCACCACAGGCCGTGCATGATCGTGCAGATGAGCATTTGGTGCAGTAGCTCCATTTCTTCGGAAGCCTGAAACTTTTCCCCGTTTCATCAGACTTCTCCATTTCAAGAATCCGAGAAAGATATGGAGAAAACGAAGAGGGCCGTGGGAAGAAGAGCGAGAAAGTATTTTTACCCGGCTGTATACCGAGTGGCCATATTTTTTGCTGTCAGTCTCGCCTTCTCAGCACTTTCATCCGACAGTTTCTTCAGGACAAATCCTTCGCCTTTGCACTCAGAACATATACCCGAACCACCACAATCGTCACAGTCTCTCATACGAACCTGGAATTTAAAAACATGTATCTTAACAAATCATAACCCTTTTGCTAAAAACCTGTTGAAAGCTCATTTCCGGGATGGGTAGGGATGGGTAACAAGAACCGAAAATACCCGTCTCAACTCTCAAGCAAAATAGGCTATCACCTAGATACAACAAATGGTTACAGCCTACGAGGAAAATAAGTAACGGTGAGAACATTAATCGTCTTTTCTTGAGTTCAACTAAACAACTTACCTCTGTTACTTCAGGAGCTTTGGTTCTCTGGACAAGGAGAGTAGCTGCAACACCAACAACTGTTCCAGCAATTGCAATAGAAGCAGCTGTTTCAGCTAAAGCAGGAACCGCGATCGATGACCTCTTCGATTTTTTACTTGAAGACTTGGAATCAAATGAAGAAACTGAATTTAACATCTTCACATCCCTAATACCTTCCAAAATCAATAGTACATATCATAGGAAAGTCAGAATGTATAAACCCTAAAACAAGAATCGGCACAAATGAAACCAGAGATGACAATGGCCACAAACATATGCGCCCGATTTCAACATTCAGACCTAATAAACCTAACCACTGATCCGAAATCTCCCGTGGTTTGCCTTAAAGCTAGACTCACATAAACAACGGTTAGGCGTTTGGAACCTTTGATTCCTTCAGCTATTTCATATCCTATCAGAGCATAAAGTGCTAGTCTTATCAGTTACCATCAAGAGCTTAAAACCCTAACAAAATCTAGTAAAAATTGAACCTTTTGGGGATCGAATCAAAACCCACTGCTACTTCAGAGCTGACGATCAATCAAAAGGGAGAATTTGACAAGAAAGCACTTGTCTTGACATGAACCCATTGATTCGGATTCATCTATTGCAATCCCATTATTCAATTAGTTCCATTACTGTATGATGCAAGCTCCGAATCTCACAAGACCCAGATGGAAATTTAGCTTAAATTGGATTGACAGAGAAGGATGAGATTTCCAAAGGGTCTTGTAAACATGGATGGAGCAGCAGCATTCACATAACTTCGGGATAAAAGGATGAAAAATACGTTAAAATTAAGGAGAGAGAACATGAATGAGGAATTAGGGTTTTGATGAGCTTACTTGAAACTGGGGAGGGAAGTGAAAAAGATTGCAGCTTGAGCTCCATCGCATTCGCAACAGAGGAATTGTTATTTTTGCCTCTTCAAGTTTCTGTTATCTCTAACCTCGTTGAATTGTCGGATTTATCCTCCTCGTATAAATAATAATAATAATAATAATAATAATAATAATAATAATAATAATAATAATAATAATAATAAACCGCAAATGTACAATGTAATTTAAAAATCAAACCGAACTAAACCGGACCGACCCAAAATAGGAGCAAATTTAAATCAACTATTAGGGAAAATTTTGGAAACGAGATTTTTTTTCTTTAAAATGTTAAATCGCCCAAATAGTGCTTTGTGTATAATGTATATAGCTTGGTTTCACCTATCAATATAATTATTTAAGTGATTAGCGTTTCATTTGGTATTAACCACCATAAACATATACCCTTTCTCTGCATTTGAAATGTGTGCATTTGTCTCGTGTTAATTAAAAGGTACAAATTTGCTTTGCTTTTATTTTTTCACGAAATAGAATTATATGAAATATATTATCATGCAACCAAAATCCTTGTTACATTTCCAAAAACTATAAAATTCCAAAACAAAATAAATAACTTACAGCGGCAACTAAAACTATGGCCTCACATCATCATCCTCTTAGGTGGTGGTTTCAAAGACAGTCGCAAAACTACACCAACGCCCCCGGAACTCTATATATATATATATATGTGCGCACCACAACAACAGAATCTCCCTTACAGATTAGCGTCACGGACCGGACCAAAGGGACTAGAGATTTGTTCCTGTCCTGCATCTGTTGGAAGTGTATGTTTTTTACTCTGACCAAAGGTCTTAACAGAGATCAGGTAGAAATATTATCGAGGGGAATGGGATTAAAGCCCATAGAATGACAAACCACCATGATGGCAACCCAACCTATCTGGACAAACCACCAGTGTTAGGTTCAA